AGGTGAAACTTTTCCAGGTTTTCTCTCTGTGGATCTTTAACCGGTTTAATTTTCCAGACAGAATATTGTTTCATGATCTGAAACCTTTCTGAATGAAATCACAAAGCGTTCAGGATGACATCGAGCTGCAGACAGGAAGTTCCTCCAGAGCCTGAGGGATCGGTTCTGGATTCAGTTTATTCCAGAACCGATCTGCAGCAGGATCTCCTGCTAGCATCACGACTTTATCATCTTCAGCAGGAAAACATCCCGGATCATCCTGGATCCCTCTGGAGATGCTCAGAGAGGCTGACAGAGGATTTCATGCAAAGATGCTGCAGAAAATCAGAAACATTTTTAAAATGATGTAACAGCGCCCCCTGCTGGAAAACGTCCGTCTCCTCTGTGGTGATAATCCATGACGTTTCCAGACACACAAAGAGATGTTGAACAAACTACCTCAAAGCTTTGCTGCATCTCACAATGACTAAATGTCCACTTCCTGTTATCCGTCTCCATGGAAACAACATCTGGATCATAAAGATGAAGGAGGTTTCATAATAAAAGCTCAAAAAGTAAAAAGCAACACAGGTTCCTGATGCCTCAGCTGATCAGTGTCTAAACTGAGACATAAATGGCTTTTGGTGACGATGATCTGAGAAATGAACCCGGATATTAAAATCTGCTGCCTCAGGTTTTTAAAGAAATATTTTCTCATCAAACTTTGTTTCTTTATTGATTTTAATGCTACAAAACATTTTTTCTTTCATTTAAACACATATTGTGAAGCTTTCCTCGTGTTACAGAACCATTTCAGAACCATTTCAGAGCTGCTGACTCAGGTTTGCTGCAGTCTGAAGTTTGTAGGTGAAGCAGCTGCTGCTTCACCAGCAGGGGCGCCACCTTCTGAAACCCTCCAGGCCTCCAGGTTTCTGTGGCTCAGCCTCTGAGCTCTGACAGTCCGCTGTGTCTCTGCAGCTCAACGACTCGCCGTTGACCCTCAACGGCTCGGTTCAGACGGGTCGCGGTGTGAAGCTCTCCAAGGACCAAACCGGAGTCATTGTCCAGGTGTCCCTGTCCAACTTCTCTGCTTCTGTCTTCTTTGACGGCTCCACGGCTCAGATCCACCTGGAAGGTACGGAGCATCGTTTGGTTCCTGAGGAACGCTGCTGTCCTGCAGTCTGACGCTGATCGTCTCTCTGCTGCGTCCTGAACCCGTCCAGAAGATTCCTCGTCATATTTATCATGCTTTGAAGGTCTAGAGATGAAGTGACCAGAGAAAAGGGGAAACACATAGAACCGGTTTTATACTAAATTCCAACACAGAGCCTCCATGTGCAGCCTCAGACATCACATCTTTAGTTTGTCATTAGTTTCTGGAAAATAATGACATTGAAGGAGGATCTTCTTCCTGTTTGCTCAACTCACATAAATCAATCACTTACATAATAAATTAAAACTAACTCAATCATTTCCATTTGCACGATTTATCGATATGAAAAACAAATTAGCTTACAGAGGCTTCATGTTTCATTTTATTTGTTGTTTCTGTTGTTTGTTCATTTTGGAAACAAAATGTTTTCCAGTTTTAAATGTTCACTAGAATTTAAAGTTTGTTGATCTCTGAGAATATGTTCTGGCATTATTATGCCATTATTACCATTATGTTACTTAAAAATGGCCGCCAAACAACAATATTATTGTTCACCTCATTGACTTCTGGGACAGTTTTCATCCAGCAAACCTGTTACCAGGACAGGCGCAAACAGAACCCAGCTGTTGGTTCATTCCTGCAGCTGGTAGTTTGTGGTCCAGAACCAGAAGGTCTCCCGGCACCAACCTGCTGCGGCGCCGCGCCGTCAGTCCTCCTGCAGCAGGGCGCTTCTTTTCTCCAGCAGCCAATAGGCTGCGATCCTGCTGGCGTAGATCACATAAGACCAGGACAGAACCACCAGACCCAGTAGGACCTGCAGGACAGAGAGGGTCAGGACAGTCCAGACGTGAAGCATGTTTAATCCAGACTGCAACAAGATTTCACCCCAGATCAGGTATGAGGTCAGCAGTTTTCACAAGTTTAGGTTCTGATCCAGGATTTATTCAATCACGTGTAATTATTATACCACAAACAATCAATTGTTTTTCCTCAGGTTGTTTTTGTTTAAAATAGTGGAGAGTTGCTTTAAAACGGGAAGGAGAGGATGGAGTATAATAAGTATTTCAGTCTATAAATCAGAGCAGATTAAAGAGGCTCAAGTTACAGAAAAACTGCGGAATTGCCCTTTAGCCATTTACAAATCGTAAGCTAACTTCCGCTTCGTGCTCGCCTCAAACGATGCTACAACTCACAAATGTACATAGAAACAGTTGATTGATCAGTTTATGATCAGCACATCCAGGTTCTGAGATGTTTTTCTCTCCATTTCCACATAGATTTCTTGATATTTTCTTCTCTCTCTGGTCATTTTAAATGTGAAACTGTCCCCTGTGTCCCAGATATAAACAGAAAACCCTTCAATTCTGAAGCAACATCATCTGAAAGCAGGTAAAGCTGTTTCACCGCAGAGTAAATCCTGTCCACGGTCCTCCGGCTCAGAGTCTCCATGTTTCTCGGACGGTCCCGCTTCTTCTTCGGCTGATTTCAAACACCGTTTCAGCCGCCAAGACGCCATCTTGTGTCAAAGAGGGTAAACTGTAAGTTAAAGATTTGTTTACAGCTTAAACATCAGCTTCTTAAATATTTTCCCTTTGACATTATTATTATTTTTGTTATTTTACATTGAAACACTGACCGTTAAACTGGCTTTTAAATGCTCCGGTGCTCTGAGAAAACTGCCTTTATGGAGCAGTTACAGAAGACTACAGTCGTTACTATGGTAACTAAAGAAAGGGGTCGGAAGAAGATGTCTCACTTCGAGCTAGTTTTACTTGGAAAATAAAATAAAATTGACTAACTATTTAGGATAAATAATTAAAATACTACAAAAAAGATACAAACTATTGTGGTGTACACTGGATGTAAGAAACCTAAAATATTTCTTAAACTTATTCTCGAACATATAAAAACAATGGCGCCATTAGGCTAAATTAAGAGTTTCGTTAACATCACGTTGACTCCAAAACTTTATCAATAAAGAACAAATAAACGTAAACTACCATGGAGAGTTATGTAACAATAAAGATGTGATAACAGAAACAGCAAATGGTTGAATTACATAATATTATACAACATTGATAAATTTCTTGTGTTAGTGAGCCCTCCTTAAACTTTGACGATCTTTGACACAAGGGAAGGAGTTGACGTCTGTTGGTTTCCCATCATGCCCCGCTGTTTGGGTTGTAGCTGGAGTTAGGACAACAGCCGATTCAGCGCTGATGTTTGGGTTCCGAACTTTGCACAGGTTCTGAACGGATCTGGATCTGGACCTTTGAGCTGGGGGACGCCGGTCCCTCTCTGCTGAAGGTGGATGCCGCTGCCGGCGCGGAGAAGAAGGAAGAAAGGCCCGGATGAGGAGGAGCGAGCTGCGGGTTTTTCAGCTGAGGTCTGTGGAGCTAACAGAGTTAGCATGGTAACAGAGTGTCAGTCAGGCAGGGAATACAGTTATGGTTTTAAATACGTAACGACTCCGATTGCAGTTACATGTACCAGTATAGAGATGAACTTTAATTAGTGTAAAATAGTGACGTATTGTTAAATGCTGTGTCTTTAAGTATTTACAGGTTAGCTTGATTGTAGCTCGTTAGCTTTAGGCTAACAGGAGTTGTTCGTTCAGTTTGTGTTTAATATTCATAACAATCTTGAATCTGAGAGATTCTGACCTCAAAGGGGAGTGTAGATTTTCCAATGTGAGTTAGGATGTGTGATTGTGTTCCTCTGAAAAGCGGTGGTTCTGTTCTGGTTCTGATCAGGTTAGTGCACAGAGAGAACTTTAAACACAGTAGATTAATATGCAACCAAAACATACAACAAAACCTTACATACCTGCATGGAATGTAAAATTTAAGTTCAAATCTAGGGATGCACTGATGTGAAAGTTTGGGCCGATATTGATATCCAATGAAAAATATTGCTGTTAAGGTTGATAACTAATATTTACAATATTCTACATATTTTATATTTATGTATATATATATTTATATAGCCCTACCATACAGCTGGCACACAGCTACCTTCTTTATATCCCTGAACCTCCTCACAGTCCTGCGCTGCATGACGCTCACAAAACGATACGATGTAAATGATCATCGGTTGTTAATATTGGCCCGGTTATATTTATCATATCGATACTGATGCCTCTATAGACCTGTTGCGCTGTGACGTTTTGTCGCTGTAGATGAAAAGTAAATGAATCGTCATGTGCAAATTTTACGGATGTAAACAATAATAAATGTGTTTCTATCATACATCCCTATTAAAAACAGATAAATACTTTAAAATGCTAGTTTTCCCAATGTGGATGAAATGTTCTGCGTTCCGGACGTGATGCTGAGCCTCTGGGTCTCCGTCTTCAGGTGATGGCGCCGACTCGGATGAAGCTGCGTCGGCGGAACACGGCGGCTGCATCCGCTCCAGCAGGAGGCGCTCTGGAGGGAGAGGCAGACAGAACCAGAGAGAGCCGACGGAGCAGCAGAAGGAAAAACGGAGGCAAGGCATCAGCCCCCGCCGCCCCCCGCCTCGTCTCCTCCTCCACCTCGTCGGCGCCGCCAGACCCGCCATGGCAGCCGAGGCATCGCCCGACTCCAAGTGTCCCATCTGCCTGGACCGCTTCAATAACCTGGCGTACCTGGACCACTGCCTGCACCGCTTCTGCTTCCCTGCATCCAGGAGTGGTCACACAACAAGGCGGAGTGTCCGCTCTGCAAGCAGCCATTCGCCTCAATCTTGCACTCAGTGCGCGCAGAGGACGACTTCAAGGAGTACACGCTGCAGCCGCCGCCACGCGCCGCCAACCAGCTCACCGCTAGCACCTTCCTCACCACCGTGGCCGCCATGACGGCGGGGACGCGCGCAGCTTCGGTGATGCTGAGACGGCACCTGGTGGCGGCCGACAGAGACGCCGTGCGGCGGCGGCGCAGGCGTGAGCGGGCGGCGAGCGGTCGCAGGTCGACCGACCGCGTCGGGGAGTGGGAGTTTTTCATGCACTCTCCGCCGCTGCCCGTGTCGCCGTACCACCTGGACATGTCGGAGCTCATCATGGACAAACATGCGGGTGGAGGAGGTCGCCGAGGAGATGATGAGGAGAGACGAGGAGCGGCGGCAGGCGTTCAGCGAGGAGCTGGCCGGCCTGCGGGGCGCGGCGGCCCCCAGCGCCCGCGCATCACGCCGCCTCATGTGCCGCCTGGCGGTCCGGCAGCGGCTGCAGCGGGAGGGCGGCACCGTCCAGATGAGGGAGAGGGAGGTCGCAGCGTTCCGCAAGGCGCTCTACCAGAGCGGGATCCGGGTGCGGGGCGTCAGCGGTAACCAGGGGCGACCTCGCAGCGTCGCACCGGAGACGTTCCGCCGAGGCTCCGGCCACCTGACCCGGCTGAACGGCTGGCTGCGGCGGGAGCTGGCGGTGCTGCTGGGCCCGCACGCCCCGCTCAGCGACGTGGTGCTGCGCACCATCACCGCCCGAGTCCTGCGCAGCGGCCTGGAGGACGCCGCCGCCCTAGAAGAAGACCTGCGGCCGTTCCTATTGGCCCGCACAGAGCACTTTGTGCACGAGCTGGTGAGCTTCGGCCGCTCCTCGCTTAGCATGGAGAGCTACGACCAGCTGGCCGTGTACGAGCCGCCCGCCGCCGCCATGGAGCTGGAGCCGCTCAGCAGCCCCTCCGACGGCAGCTCCGTCATCGCCATCTCTGAGGAGGAGGAGGAGGAGGAGAGAGGAGGAAGAGCCGAGGCAGTGACAGGAAGTCACAATGATGTAATTCAAACAGGAAGCAGCCTCAGCCTGTCCGGCTGGGACGATGAGACGCCGGGACCGTCGTACACCTCAGCAGAGCCGCCACTTTCACTCACCATGCCGCCGCTCAGCCCGGCTCCTCAGCAGCCGACCAATCAGGAGGGAGCAGAGCCGCGCGGCGAGGAGGAGGAGGAGTGCCTGATCGTCGGGTACAAGAAGCCGATCGCTGAGAGAACTCCGGAGCTGGTGCAGCTGTCCTCCGACAGCGAGGAAGTTGAGGGAGAGAAGAAGAAAGAGGAGGAGGAAGTGGAAGTTGGCTCAGCAACGGTTGATAAGACTCCGCCCCCATCTGCTCCCTATTTACCCATAATCCCTCCCTCCACTTCAGGAGCCTTCAGGGCGGAGCAGCAGAAGGAGGCGAACTCCCGCCGGCGGTCCGGTTCCTGGTCAGAAAGTTCTGGACGAAGCAGGAAGTCGGTCTGCTCCCTCAGCCCAGCTCCGCCGGAGCGCCGCCAGAGGGACAGGAAGCAGCAAAGCGAACGGCGGAGGAAGAAGAAGCAGCGTGGGCGGGACCGGAGCAGAGAGCTCATGGGAAGAGCGGCACCTTCTGCAACCCCAACCGCTCCATCTTCCCCCCCATGATGTCCCGCTGCTCGCCGTCACCATTCGACTCCAGCCCAGACTCCGCCTCCTCGCCGCCGAGCCCGCCGGACTCCGGCTGGGAGCTCCGCTTCAGCCAGGTGTCCCCCCTCACCTCCTCCGCCTCCTCGCCCTCCCGCTCCTTCTCCCCGCTCTGCTCCTCCCCCGGGACGCCGCCCTCCCCGCCCTGCTCCCCCGAGCGGCCGCATCACGTGGAGAAACCCGGCGGGAAGAGGAAGTACAAGAGCCGCCACCTGAACAGCAGCAAGGACCTGACATGGAGGCCGAGCCGCGGCCGGCAGCACGACAGGGAGCGCAGGAAGCGGCTCCGCAGGGAGGCGGAGAGGCGGGACAACAGTCTGACGACAGGAAGCAGGTCAGAAACACTTCCTGTTGGAGGGGGAGGTGGCGTTTATGGTGTTGGATGGGTCCATCCGTCCTAACTGGGTTGGACGTGTTGAGTCTTTTCCGGTGTTTTTCCATCTTTTGTGCTGGTTTTCGGTCCCAGCAGTAAAACGGTTTCTGGATCTTTGTTCTGACCAGCAGGAGGTCCAGAGACGACCGCAGTCCCAGCGTGGAGATCGTCTACGAGGGAACCATCGACTCCGCGCAGCCGTCCGCCCACAAGCGCCGCCGGAGACGCCACCGGAGACGCCACCGCAGGGGCGCAGGTCACCAGGTGAGGTCACATGACAGGAAGCAGGTGAAGTTCAAAGAGCTTCTGATCAGAGGAACTGTGTTTGTTTCAGCAGAACCCGGTCCAGACGCTTCTAAACACTTTTCATGTCAGAATAATCTGAAAATGAATCATTTTCAAATATGAATCCTCAAAGGACGTTTCTACAACTAAACTTTAAATGCTTCACATTCTGACAGAAAGTAAAATTTATACTATTCCACAGGTGGCAATGAAGCACAGCTAGATGGAGCAGGATGTCAGAAAAGCATCATTTAAAACTCCAGGCTCTTAAAGTCATAACATCTTAAATAAATGAACGTTTGAGCACTGAATTGCCTTCAAGTATATTTTTTGATCTTCTTGGCCCAATATGGCGGCGCCTGCTGGGGGAGACAGGCAGCCAATCAGAAAGAGACTCGTTAGCTGGAGGACACAGAATCAAAAGGACAACAAAAAGCCACAAATAATTTATAACATCTTTTCATTTAAGATGAAGAAAAACATTTCTTGCCTGATGAACTTTTTCTAAAAGAGCCAATCATTGGCAGCCATTTTGTTCTACTTTATAGCCTCAAACATCTGGGACGTTTTGGTCTCCATACGTTTCTGATCAACAGGATCTTGAGGGAAGTTCTTGTTTTGTTGCTGAGAATAAAAACAGAACAGAAAACATTGGACCCAAACGGGTCGACCCGCTTTGTTTCAGTGAACCTCACAGAAGCTGGAGGGAGGAGCCCTGAGAGGTCCGCTCCTTTTTTAGGTCGGTACTGTGACTGTGTCGCAGCAACTACAGTCCCACAGACACAAACGCCTCATCACAAACGTTCCTGTTTGTGATGCATCGTCTCCAGTAGAATTAGAACTGAACACAGTATTTCCAGATTGATTTAACGTATTGATGTTTTCATTGAACGAAGAAAAATGTTTAGGAGGTTTGAACATTATTTGGAATTTGTCACAATAAAAATAAATCGAATTATTATCATGACAAGAAATGTATCAGGATGAATGACAAGCGATGCGATAAGCGCTCCACCTCAGAACTTTGGGCTGACGGTGTTTAAGTTCGATTCCCTGCCTGACGGTGTTTAAGGTTCGATTCCCTGCCTGACGGTGTTTTCTGTCTCAGCTCTCCGGTCATCATCACCCTGGACAGCGACAGTAGCCATGATGACGGCCAGAAGAAGACCAACAGCGGCAGCAGCAGCCCCCTCAGCAGCCAGCAGACCATCGACTTCTCCGACCTCCCGTCCCTCCCGTTGGCTCCCTCCGCCGGAGTGGGCGGTGCCGTGGAGGTCGGGGAGCTGCCCGCCGACATCCTGGACCGCGGGTCGGACGGGTCGGAGTCGGAGGCGGCGGTTCGGTCCGGAGCGGTGCGCCGAGGCGACCGCGGCGATCGCAGCTACGTAGACGTCGAGAACACGGAGGACGCCGTGTCGCTGCTGGAGACGTCTGACAACCACCAAGAGGCCGACGGCAAGAAACCGGGCCGCAGAGAAGACCCGTCCGACCGGTACCTGCTGGAGGCCATCCTGGACGACCTGAACCGGATCGCTCCACTGAGACAGAACCCGTCCCAGGATGGCGGCTTCCTGTCGGAGAACAGAGAGCGGACGCCGCAGGAAGTCATCCGGCTGGAGGAGAGGACAGGTTCCGGTCCAAACTCCCACCGGCTGTCAGCAGAACACGGACTCTGTCCCGCCTCCACTGGAGAGGACGGAGGGTCGGGAAGTCCCGCCTCTCCTCCGGCGGGCCAGTCCAGTCGGGTCGTACCGCAGGAACACACCGCCGCCTCTCAAACACAAGGATGCTGGGAGTCCGCCACACGGCGCCGCCGGCCCGCCAAACGTTGGGCCACGTTGCTCCGACCCGAATCCGACTGGCAGAACCTCACCGGGTCTCAACCCACTCGTCATTCCTCCCATAACAACCATCCAGAACCAGCTCAGCGGGTCGCCGTCTAACCCCAGGCTTCCGGCCCGGTCCGGTTCTGATCGGCTCCCCGGCCTTAGGTTTGGTTCTTTTCCCTCCATGGAGTCATTCCACAGCAGCGAAAGCTTGAAGCTGAGTTTACCTTTGACCTCTGCGACCTCCACACATTCCCCGGATCTCCACCCGGCTCACCGCAGGAACCCGGTCAGCCCGACCCCTTGGGTCGGTGTCGGTTGTCTCGGTCCATCTGGCTGGGATTTCTTCTCAGGTCTGAACTTTCACGGCGCTGCTGCTTTCCGACCGGAGCGGCCGCCACCAGGGGGCGTCCATCCTGACGTCACCGCTGCTGCAAGAGGTCAGGAGGTCGGCGTCCCGCAGCTCTCTGACTCCGCCTCCACTCACAAGGCCTTAGCTCCGCCTCCATCTCAACAAGCCCTCAGCTTGAGCGGCTTCAGCCAATCAGAGAACAGTTCCCAGTGCAAGTCCCGTTCTGAACCGATTCACCTCTCTGAGTCCGACTCAAAGAACCGAAACAATCCGAGCTCCGGGCCGGGCTCACCGGACCAGAACCAACAGCAGAGTCCAAACGCTACGCCACTCAGCATACACCCACATGACCCCACCCTCCACCCACATGACCCACCCACCACCCTCATGACCCCACCCTCCACCCTCATGACTACACCCTCCACCCTCATAACCCCACCCTCCACCCTCATGACCCCACCCTCCACCCACATGACCCCACCCTCCACCCTCATGACCCCACCCACCACCCTCATGACCCCACCCTCCACCCTCATGACCCCACCCTCCACCCTCATGACCCCACCCTCCACCCTCATGACCCCACCCTCCACCCTCATGACTTCACCCTCCACCCACATGACCCCACCCTCCACCTCATGACTCCACCCTCCACCCTCATGACTTCACCCTCCACCCACATGACCCCACCCTCCACCCTCATGACCCCACCCGACTCTCAGACTCCCCTCACAGTATTTCCTTTGACTCCGCCCACCTCCCCTATGACTTTGCCCCTAACTCCTCCCACATGACCTCTGAACCTCCGTCAGACAATCGGCCGTCTGATCGACTCTCTGGAGAAATTCCTCCTGATTCTGGTGAAAATGTACAGAAATAAATCCAGAAAGTTTGTTTTTATTTTTTATTGTTTCTGTTTTTTGTCTCTTGTTGATCTGAAAAGTGACCAGGTTGTTTTTAAATGTCCGGACTGCTTTTTACTTTAAATTCTGGGACTACGACCCATTTATCGTGTTCTGATCCAAATATATTTATGCTTTTTAATTTTTTATCCTAAAGAAATGTGTGAAGCTGTTCAGGAAACATCTGGAGAAACGAGCAGCGGTTTGGTTTGATTCAGGTTGAGAACTGATGTTTGTGAACTCAGAGACTCTGAGCCACAGGAACTGGTTCTGGTTCTGGTTCTGGTGGACATTTGGACCTCTGGCTCTGTCAGGACACCTGAATAAAAGGTTGATCTGAAAATCATCTTGTTGTTTCACTTCATAGCTGTGAAGGTTTCTGCTATTTATAATGCAAAGTTACCATGAACTTTGACCTTTCACCTGATGGGACTCTGCGGTTGTTTGGAGGCTAAATGACCTTTGAACTCTTCCCAGATAGTGCAGCAACTTAAAGATAAAGTCTAATATTTGTGTATAAATGCTCACCAATAAATGAAGGTTTAATATTTTACTGAAACATTTGGTCTGAATATGCAGATGGTCTCCAGCCTTTCTGAGTTTTTTCAGTTTATTTTGTTTTAGAAAATTTTCCAGCATAAAAAAAATTAAATTTCTTAAAAAAAAAATAAAAAAAAACTCTAGACTTTAGTTTTTGAGTTAGAAGTTTCTGGATGATTATAGCGACTTATTATGAAATTAAAGCATAGCTAATAAAAGAAAACTAATTTGTGTCTTTGATAGAAGAATTAAATTTGAAATTCTCATTTTATGATAGTTTTCACTGGAGATTGATAGCATTCTGTGTCCACAGAGTTGTTCCTGTGGCCACAAATGGCCCCCAAGCCACACTTTGGAAACCTCTGACTTTATCACAAATCTTAACCTGACAATAATAATCTGTATAAAGTTAAATAGCAGTAAAAACAAACAAACTGGAGAAGAAAAAATATCCAAAAGAAATCATGAACAAAGATAACATCGATTAATCATTAATCATTGTGATCATGGATGGATCCGGTGGATGAGCTGCAGTTGGCGCGTCTCGCCAGCAGATGGCGCCTGGCTGCCCGCCTCCTGCGGGCCTCAGGAAGCGGAGCGGGATAATGAGCCTCCGGGGAGCGGCGGAGTCGGAGGCCCCGCTGCACTAATTAAGCCCATCAGGGCGCGATTAACTGGCTGTTAAACACACAGTCTGCGGCGGGCTGGCGGATCAGCGGCGGGCTGGCGGATCTGCGGCGGGCGGGCGGATCAGCGGCGGGCTGGCGGATCTGCGGCGGGCGGGCGGATCTGCGCCGAGGCCCGAGCCAATTACCCGCCTGAGGAATGAGCTCAGCTTCCGCCTGTTCGCCACCAGTTTCCCTGTTGTGGTTTCAATGGTTTGTTGATGCATCTTAATGCTGCAGCTCCAGGACTGTGGATGAAAACTGATTCAGAATGAACCAAATATGAAAGACTTTCTGCCTGATTTTCTGTTTTTAACTGAAGTGATAAAACATTTCCACAGTTTTAACTACGTTTTCGCACCAATACATGATTACTGATGAGTTCTCTTCATATTTTATTAGTTATTTTTCCTCCTAGCAAGAAAATCCTGGATTTAAATTATTATAGTTTACTCTCTGGTCCAAAAATATTTACTTAATGTCCGACTCTGAAGCCTAAAGTATTATAAATTTGAGTTTTGGCCAGAATTTAACACTATGCATCAAAATAATTACATTTGTACATCCCTTTATTTTTGGCTTCTTCCATCATTTTTCTTCCAGGCGTCTGATTTGTGGCTCTTCCTGCAGAACCTGGTGCTGCTCTGCAGATATAAAACCTGGTTAAGTTATAAAGTTGTGACAGGCCTGCATGTTCACACTGACTTCAGAACTATCAGGTCTAATCTGGTTCCACATATGAAGTGGAACAAATCGAAGGTTTCTGGGTGAAAAGTATCAGAATTGGTTCGATCAGAATGAGGCGAAGACGTCGGATCGCTCTGAGCTCTGAGGCTCTGGAAACACTGAGGATAAATGAAACGCAAACGTAAACTTTACTAACCAGGAGACTGACGACAGTTGGTTCCACTGGGTTTTATTTAGGAGCGTCGGAGTAAAGAAGGTCCGGAGCGGATGCATTGCAAGGCCAACTATTCGTCCTCAGATCTGGGAGGAAATGAAGGCCATGAATTGAATCATTTTGTTTAGAAACATTCAGACCAATTATTCACAATCTGTCTTCTGGATCCACAGGGAATCACCCTGTGGTAATCCCACAGTATATTTGGGAATATTATTGGCCCCTCCCAATAATATTCCCAAATATTATTGGGGATAATATTTGTTATCCCCAAATAACAAATATTTGGGGATAAAAAAGTTTTTTAAATGGAATTAAATAGGATATTGTGGAAAGAAAAACATCCATAAATGTAGATGTGTTGGTTGTTGAAGCTGCTATAGAAAGAGACTAGAGGAAGATTCACTTTAAATCTCACAGATCATCTCCTTTTCATTTCCTCCCAGTTAGAGGTGAAAGCTGGAGCCTCGTGTTGCCGTCAGGCTGAAGACTTTGTGTTTCTGGAAGCAGAAACTGTTGGATCCGGAGGCGCTGACGTCAGGCCCGCGGGAGGCCACGCCCCTCGGCTCCTCAGGCCACGCCCACATTCTAGAACACTGCCGGTGGGCCCCATTGTTAGCGCAGTTGCCTAGCAACACGGCGCACCGTCGTCAGGGACAACCAGCCTCTGTCTTTCTTTCTCTGTCAGATCGCAACACACACACACACACACACACACACACACACACACACACACACACACACACACACACACAGAGACACACACACACACACACACACACACACACACACACAGAGACACACACACACACACACACACACACACACACAGAGACACACACACACACACACACACACACACACACACACACACACACACACACACAGAGACACACACACACACACACACACACACACACACACACACACAGAGACACACACACACACACACACACACACACACACACACACACACACACACACACAGAGACACACACACACACACACACACACACACACACACAGAGACACACACACACACACACACACACACACACACACACACAGAGACACACACACACACACACAGAGACACACACACACACACACAGAGACACACACACACACACATACACACACAGAGACACACACACACACACACACACACACACACACACACACAGAGACACACACACACACACACACACACACACACAGAGACACACACACACACACACACACACACACACACACACACACACACACACACACACACACACACAGAGACACACACACACACACACACACACACACACACAGAGACACACACACACACACACACACACACACACACACACAGAGACACACACACACACACACACACACACACACACAGAGACACACACACACACACACACACACACACACACACACAGAGACACACACACACACACACACAGAGACACACACACACACACACACACACATACACACACAGAGACACACACACACACACACACACACACACACACACAGAGACACACACACACACACACACAGAGACACACACACACACACACACACACATACACACACAGAGACACACACACACACACACACACACACACACAGAGACACACACACACACACACACACACACACACAGACACACACACACACACACAGAGACACACACACACACACACACACACACATACACACACAGAGACACACACACACACACACACACACACACACAGAGACACA